CTGCAGGATTCGGGACATACTCTGTTTCCAATGACCTGTTAATTCTTCTAAAATTAAATAGAAATCCCCCAAAGCCAAACCAACCCAAATATCTCAAATACCCAATTCCTCGATAAACCCCAAAACCCGTGACCGAACCAGCTTCCAAAGACCCAAAGTACCCTAGCATAATGACCCAAGGAGACCAACCGCCAACATGACCCCTATTCCGTCCGCCGCCCCTCGACCCGCGAAGCAGTCTCGCACACCAGCGACTCCATCGACTCCGTCCCGCCCTGCGCCAAAACACTCAGCCTCTCCTTGATCCAGCTACTCGCCGACGAGGTCGTCGAGGTGGACAAGGCTGAGGAACCGCTCTTGCAGCAGACGGCGGAGTGCCGGCCATCTACCGTCCGCGGCCGTCCTTCCTAAGACTGGCTGTGCGAACGGGAGGGGCGCCTAATCGCGCCGGACCTGGATGGTATGGCATCGGCGTGTTGCGAGCTATGGCCCTGGTTGTGCCGAGGGTGCGGCTGCCCGTCAAAATGCACCCGCTGTCCCCTTTCTTCGCCCTTGTCAGACAGCACCGCGGCGTCGGACGGGCGACCACCTCTCCCTTGGCCGGCATCTGGCCCGCGACCGCGGCGGCCCTGGCGGTTCTCCGCCTCCAAGTGTCCTGAGTACTCGGGCAGATACGCAGCCGTTACGTAGTTGTAAGGTTGCCCACTCACTCGAGATGTGGCTAACCCCCGATCGCTCGAACTGTGTCCGGGTATATGGGCTGTGTTGGCCGTGCTGCGGGGCGTGGAGGGAGGTGTTACATTGCGCTGGCGTGGCCGAGTCGGTGTGCTCAGCGGTTCCGGGACTGCCGAAGGGTGTCGATAAATTGGGTCGGGATCCCTCGGGGGCGCCTTCTGCCTTGCGTCGGAATGACGATGCCGATCGGTGGTCGCTGAGCTCGGCGGGGTTGCGGGCGGTGAGGGCCTCCCTTGCGCTGTGCTTCTCTGTGTATGAGCCTGACGCTGTCGACTATCGCCGGTCACTCGAGTGGTTGGGGGCGCGTATGGCGCGTAGAAGGAGTTGTCGAGGCCCGCTGTTGACCCCCGCCCGGTGTCGCCTGAGGAGCCCGGGGCGGCTGACTGCAGGGGGATCTCGGGATCCGGCTGTCGATACCGTCTCCAAGGATCACCATCGGGGTACAGCTCGTCGTGGATCCCCTGAGGGAGCTGCGCCCAAGATGGGCCGGCCGGAGGAGCTGAGTAGGTCCTTTCTTGCCAACTCCTGTCAATGGGTACGGTGGCTGGGTCGACGAGCTGTTGCCGTTCTTCCCGATCTTGGTGCTCGAACCATTGCATGGCTTCCCAGCGAGCATGGGCGACATTCGGGTGCTCGCCTTGGCTTAGCGTCGCATAACGGCCGCCGCTGTCCGTCGTGCGAGGGCGGAGGCTTGTATCGGGGCGGTTATAGTGCCGCCGGCTAGGCTGTCCCGAGCTTGTAGCTGGGCGGTTGGAGTGCCGGCTAGACTGCCACGAGCGAGCCGCTTCGCCTCTACCCTGGCGTCCTTGCGTCTCTTCTCGTCTAGCCTCTGGCGGTGTCCTGTTGACCACCATCAGCGGCGCCCTGGGAGACATCAAAACAGGCCCACCCAAAGAGATGGCATTAATACCAACTCGGGATGGACCCTGCCTTGATTGCTGGGGAGCCGCCATCGCCAGGTTACGCTCCAAGCGGCTCTGTTCTCCGTCTAGTCCTTCCCAGTCGACGGACCGGTGGAGGTGGTTAGTTTTACATCCCAACCGCTGCAGCTCCTTTTCGGAGGTACTGACGACGTGTGCAGTGGAGGAGCCCCCGGCGGGGCTCCTCGATTGTGACTGCTCTGTTACCAGAGGCCTTTGAGGTACCGTTTTCTTCAGCAGGGTGCTAGGTTGAGGTATCTTTTCTCGTCGGCTTTTGCTAAAGACCCCATTGTACGGCGCACCATCATCCTTCCATGCGGGGGGCAGGTCTGTGGACATGCCGGTCCTCATGCTAGACACCATCTCTTCTTTGTCAAGAGCCTTCCAGTCGGCCTGCAGATGGTCGGTCTCAAACCCCATTGCGTTGAGCCTGCGCTCCGATTTTGATACCGCAGGTTCCGCACCCCGGGACGACTCAGACGAGAGCCTTGCCCCCTGACAGTCCACGCACAAGTTAGCATAGTCTTCTTCGGGAACCCTGATCCTGGAGACCGTGGAGCAGTACCTTTTTGCCGTGCTAGACTTCTTGAACCAAGAAGTCTTCTGTTTCGGCTGTTTGCCGCAGGGGTGGATGGCACCCAAGACCGGGTGCCCGCATACTGCGGAGGTGAGCACGTCTTGATAGCACATTGTCGCTGCTTACATGCGTCGTTCGTCCTTTGTGGTGTACGTTTGAGGGTTGAAAGTTCTTTCCGATGAGTTTCGGAGCCGTGTCGATATTTGAGTTGTGAGAAACTCTGTCGCTTCAATGGGTGTGGAGGTGATAAAAGGTTTCTATCTGTGCGATGTGTATGAGTATATGTATGTGTTGGAGGTGTGTGGTTATGCAGATAAAGTAGGTCAATCATCTCGGGCGCAGTCGGTATCTTTTATACATTCTGGGCCGAATTGCACAATCCGTGGCCCAAGGAAGGGTTGACAAAGGCTCTGTCGTGGTGCAACTGAAGGATAAAGAGGACAGAGTTATTGTTAAGGAGAGCACAAGGGGTTTGTTCGAGATATCCTCAAAGGGCCAGGGAGGGTTTCAAAGATACTGTTGTGGGATAAAGGACACAAGGTCGCTGCCGGTTACTGCACAAGGGAATTGTGCGGACAGTACTGCTTCTCCCAAGAATGACTCTGACCTAGGAGAGACTCCCTTTCTTCTGTTGGCGCGGATAGTCCCGGCAAAGATCTTGACTTGACACTGACCTGGACACAGACGTTGTTAGACATTCTGGGCTGACGGCGAAGGAAATAACATAACCAGAGTTGAGACTATATTACGAACAATAGCTGGAACCGACCTTGAATAGACTAGAGTCAAGAGTGCCCATACTCGTCGTCTTCGGTTCGCAACAACTCTGTGCATCGGGAGAAAAAACAGAAACGATATAAGAACGGATTACCAGTTCGCGTATGCCTGGCCTTGGGATATACTTCGAGAACACGGAGCCACCCCTTGGCAGAAAAAGGGATATCGACAACGCCAGCAGACGCCCAGGATCATTTACCCAGATCGGCTCACCACATGGCGAACAGGACTAGAACCACACGAGAGACGATGGAGATCCGGAGGAACCGACAAGAAGCCCAGGACATGCTTGAGGGCAGAATCCCTGCTCCGGCGTTCACTATGCTGGCCTTCGACGACTGGCGCTTCGCTCAAACAGCCGCGCAGGTACACCAGCTGGTGGGCGGTTCGGGCATGAATGGCACCATCGAGTTCTACACATTCGTACCCGCATGCCAGAATGGTCTTGCGCCTCCTACTAACCGGGAAATGGACCAGGCTCGAAAGCAGCAAAATCGGGCAACGCATATCCCAACCTATTACAATGGGATAGTCCCGCCGCTGACAGCGAGGCGGGAGGCGGAGATTGAAACCGTCCGGCGGCTGACAATGGCGGCACGGGGCAGGGACCCCGACGATGGACGACCGGGTCCTATACCCAACTCGCGCCCTCCTACCGCCGGATCTGCCCAGGACGAGGACGACGACATCCGAGAAGCCATAGCTGCCTCACTGGCCGAAATGCAGGCGGAGCAGGATCACAACGACATCCAAGCGGCCATAGCGGCATCACTAGCCGAAATGAAGGCCGCGCAGAATAACAGAGGCCGGAACCAACAACAGAGGACACGTCCGGATCCCGCACTCAGGCCGCACCCTCCAGCTCCACCATCGCCTAAAAGCGATGACGACTCCGACACGCAAGCCGCAATCGCAGCCTCCCTGGCCGACTCGCGCGAGGACCCGGACACGCAAGCCGCAATCGCACCCTCCCTGGCCGACTCGCGCGAGGACCCGGACACGCAAGCCGCAATCGCAGCCTCCCTGGCCGACATGCGCGAGCAGAAGAGGAAGAAGCCAGCCAGTCCCAAGCGACCGGCGTGGAATGCCTACACTCCGCGGAGTCAGAACCAAGCAGCCTCTTCCGCTAGACCTGCCGCCGCCCGTGCCGGGACTAGCAGCAACCCACCTCGTCCGGTACCTCGGACTCCACTCCCGGTCCCGTCAAACATCAACTCCAGCGAACCACGGACCTTGCGCAACCTGACAGGGTCAGTTATGGAGAGGCTACGCCACCCTTTTAGGAGGACACCTTCTGTACCTACTCAAGCCCAAACGCCTGGTGCGCCACCACCGGGCCAGGCATCTCGCACCCCTCAACCTCCAACGCCGACCCGCGTCCCTCAGAGGCAGACCACCCCCTGTGCGCAAAGGCCTCCCGCCCGTCAGCGACGAACGCCGTCTCCACCATCGACGCAGCGCGAGCGGCCGCCCGCTAACAATGCGGGCAATAGGAACCGTCCCGCGGCACGCACGGCGAACACTAGGCTCCCCAGGCCGGCGGTGGCCACGCCAGCCCCTCTCCCAGGACGCTCGGACAGGCGGCTCTACCCTCGAGACCCCACGACTAGTCGGTTTCTTTCGGATGTGGACTGGGACGCGCAGATCACGTAAGGAAGTTCTAGGTCCTTCTGATAGTTCGGAGGCCGTAGGTCAGGTGGTCGGTTGCCTATGACGTTCCTCTCTCTCAAGGTAAGTGCTGGACATCTACCTACCGTTCATTAATTTGCATTTTCCCTCTGTTGTGCTGAGGTGGGCTAGCCATCTTCTCAAATACCTTTTACTCCGAATCTGAGATTAGTGCTGGGAAACAGACAATGTAGGGAGTTACACCCCGTGGTCACCCACCCCAGTACCGGACTTCCGGTCATGGATGATTACGGATGAAGCACGACTCGCGGGCATCCCACACATAGGAGAGTTCTGTTCTCTATCCGTCATCAGCAAGGTTAGGGGGTGTAGCTCATCTGGTAGAGCGCGTGCTTAGCATCCATCTAGAGGGTTATCATCGTCTTAGATACATGTTACCTGCACGAGGTACTGGGTTCGACTCCCAGCTCCTCCACGTCTCTTTTTCCTTCTCTCTCTCTCTTTTTTTCTCTCTCACGTTTCTGCTCATCGGTGTCTAAATGGACAGGATCACTCTCCCAGTGACCGGGGACACGGCTCTTGCCTGTCTTGGATACCGGCACAGCTTTCCCTCTCGATGCGAGGGCTTTGTGCCACGGTCCTGCGTCAGAGCCTGGCGGTTGATGTCGCACGGCATGAAACAATGTGGTGTGGTGGGCAAGGGTCTGGCCGTCGGTAACTCGTTTCCGAAGGCTGAACGGAGGATTCCTGCGTGTCTCGCGGCAGATATGATGAAGGGACTTCTCCGGCTGGACTGAAGTGCAGATCTGCCGGATCGGGTCGGGCCTGCTTGGCTGAAAGTCGTGCTGTTTGATATCACTTGATATCACGTGGAATGCTTGACATCGAGGCCCCAACGTCATGCCGTGCCAGTTCCTCCTCGGCCTCGATTCACTTGAAAGAGGCCAAGCAAGTAAGCACAGCATGTCGAGATGCGGCGTGGAATAAAAAGCAAGTTGTTCGCAGGCGAGTAGGGTTGCAGCTGAGCTCAGCTCACATGGCAGGAGCACAGCAGGGGATCGAGACCTTTTGTACCACGGCTCACTCAGCCCGTAGAGGAACAAGCATACTATTAATATCGAAGCTGGTGCCACGACATGGAATAATAGAAGCTGCTGTCATCTCGAGAACCCGTAGTACAAGCGCCGTGTGCCCCCGCATGCATGTGAGATATCCGATGCGACCAGATAGAGGATGACTCGCATATACGATTCGGTGAATGGCGAAAAAGGAGACTGGGAAAACTGACCAGTGCCGGCGCGGCGGCAACGCCCAGATGTCACTCCATTGACGAAGGATTGTTAAGAGTCGCTTATCATGATGACCTCGGAGTTTTCGAAAGACGCCTCTGGACCCTATCAAGAGATAGGACGAAGGTCCCGAACTTCCCAGCAGCGCTTGCAAGTGAGCTGGTTTTGATAGGGTTGGTGCTGAGACCTGCAGGTCCGAGACTTTCTGGCCACAGAAGTCTGGCCATCGAAGCCCTAAGTCTAGACCAGTGGGAGGTGTATCTGACATCGAGGAATACCTGGGGACATCCGGGTCTATTGAGTTGCCAGATTCTCTTCAGCGCGGCCATCAGTGAGAGCAACCATGCTGTCTGGAAGAGTAAAAGAGGTGTCGGGAGCCGTGAACGAGGTGTCCCGAGCTGGGCCTGCAGCTTTGTTCTGGAGGTCGGGTGTTTTGGCTTTCAGTTTGCAGGTTTGCAGCAAAGCGCGGAAACATGAAAGATGAGAAGAGAGGGGAGTTCCGTGACCAAAGACGTCACAGTTTTGCAGGTGGTACCTTATAAGGAGGAGGAAATAGCGAACCTAATTCTGCTCTTGCTCTTCAGCTTCTTGTCCTTTCGTACTGTGGTAGGAAAGACAGGTTGCTCCTTCCCGAAGCATCACCGCTGAGGGATTGTCTCCTCCTCCCCGCCTTCACTCCTGTCACAGATTCTCAGCGTCTCCCGCAGTCTGCATGAATCACGACGGAGCATGGAAATAGATTCCATTGACTTTTAGTCAATGCCTCAGTTAGGGGGAGGTCCCACCAAACAATAAGAAAAACAGTTGTTCCTTCCTGATTCTGCTGCTTGCTGGCTCAGCTGACTTCAAGTTCCTTCCGCTGGTTGTGGTTATTGCTGTTTCTTGCTGGACTTTTGGGTTGTTTTGACAAGTTTGAGCCAATCACAGAACTGCTCCACTATGGCTTGTTGCCCCACCGCTAGCGCACTGCCTCCCGAGGCACGGGCGTGGGCAGTTCCAGTTCCAGTTTCCTCTCGCTATTCCATTTCTGGTTTGCGGGACCTGGCAGCAGATCATCTCACCTTCAAAAAACCATCAGACCTTGACTTCACCTCAGCTTCTCGTCCCATCATCATTCCATCGGCTCCCACTTTGCGTCTCATCGTCTCCCACGCCCTCGCCGGTCGACCCTGCCACAACAACATCAACAACAGCAGCAACAAGGACTACAACTACAATCACACCGAGAAACTACGTGCTGCTACCAATACCAATACGAAAGCAGCAGCACTTGTCAAACGAGCCTGGCCTGTTGTTGCTCGTCCTCATCATCCTGAGCAGGTGAACAAAAGCAACAAGGCCATGATGTCAGGCACGGCCGAAGGCACGGCGGCTGCCCCTCCACCACCTCACGGCCACGGCACCGGCAGCAACTCGGGAGGATTCGACCTCCTCAAGAGGGCAACCCAGAGAATGATGTCCAAGGACTCGCCAAGGTGTGTATCTATCTATTTACCATCATCATCAATCACCCTCTATCGCTATCTGTGGTCGGCAACAGTGGAGTCTACTACCACCGTTTGGCATCATGTTTGTTTGGATTTGAGCCTGGTGTCTGCTGGCGCTTTTCACGGCCCTGAACTCCATGTTCTTGAATGCTTCTTCCCCTTTTTCCATGCTTTTACCCTTATTAGACGTCGGCTTCCTTGGGAGCTTCCAGAAAGGTGCGGCTTAAGCCTTTTTAGCCAGTACCGGACTGGGATATGACAAGAGCCCCAAACATCCCCCCCCCTGCGGTTGCATTTGCACCCTGCAATGTTCTAGAACCTTTTCTCTTCCATCACGGACGCCGACCTCCTGGCTGTCCTCCAACAAGCAACACTCTGTTGCCGCGGCAAGGCGTTGGGTGTTTCTCTCTCCTCTCCTGCCACGCAAGCCTACGTGGTTCTGGCGAGGAAGCCGTGGATTGCGACCCTTCAGTCACCATCTGCAAGTGCGCAATGGACAACACGGCCTCTTGGAGCATCCGCCCCGTGTCAGGCTCGGCTGGGTTGTCGTTGAGCCGACCAACCACAGGTTGCACTTTGTGTTGCGAGGAGCATACAAAGTTCCTCCCACCGGATGCCTCGCCGCCGTGGCCTTGCGTATATGGCGCACCAAGACTGGATTGCACATGCAAACTTTATCTCAAAGTTCTCTTTTGCTCTTGCCAAGGGCGTCCAGTGGCTGCCACGGACCTCCTTGCTCGGAGTAGCCGTTATGGCAGGCCGGGGCTTATCTAACAACACAACGCATCTATCCCACATGAGGTTGTCAACGAGTGGGCACTGACTCGTCTGACATCAAACCCCTTCTCTCCGGTGCTGGCCGCCTGGCCGCTTAAAACCTCGAGTCGTGTCTCTTGGCCCTAGGAAAACCATACACCAGCATCCCCCCACTTCCAGCTCCCAGCCACATGGCAAGCAACAGGGCGCGTTGCGGTGTTCGGAGGCAAGACTCATCCACGATTGGTTCATGCCATGCACGCACTTACACTTGCAATCCCTCATGTACTTCGTACACAGCTGTAGCTCGGCTCGAAGCCCCTTCTCACCCCTGTCTGCCATGCAGGCCGAGTTTTGCGATCCTCTTTCTCCCGTCGCTGTCATCTTGTTTGGTCGCCCCTTGGCTTCGCCTACCTTGTTTCTCCGCGAACCTGGAGCTTAGACTGCCTCCATTCTGGCCGATAGGCATTTCTCCATATTCCCGTCGTCATAGGCCTAGGAATGCATATGGCTACCCACACGCCCCACGCGAGCTCAAAAACCCACCCCTACTACCGCAGCTCCATGACTTAGAAATCCTCGCTCGCAGCCCAAACTTTGCGTAGTCATCAGGTGCTAGCGCGTTCCTCGTCTTCTGTTTGCAGCAGTCTTCCCTGAGCTGCCGGCTTTGCTCAGTCACCCCTCATTGCGCGATCTATTTTTCTCTCATCCGACTTCGTTGCGGCATCACACTTTTATGCTCTCTCCATGCCCTCGCGAACCTTACTTTTTTCGATATCAACGCTATGATGGAGGGTATTAACAACAAGCGCAGCAGGTCTGCCGCCGGGGATGATGACGGAACTGACAACCTCGGTTTCGAAACCCCACGCTCAGGCGTGGCAACACCACAGCCCGACTTGCACGACAAACGGTTACCAGGAATTATGAGCTACTTTGGTCAGGTTCGTCCGGCTTCCTTTTCGCACTTCTTCTCAAAAGCCCTCGGCGTGGGCGGACAAGCTGCACCCACCCCAACCCAGTCACCACCATATGTTACGCGCGAGAAAAAGGACAGTGCGCGCTTTGAGACTGCTGCACCCCGGCCGAACACCTCGGCCACCACCATTCCTGTCGAACCCACTTCTCGCAGCAGTCCTAGAGAGTCAGGAATCCCCCATTCCCTATCTTACGAGATGGTAGCATCTTGTTGCACAGAGGAAGGCCCGCAGCCCGTCGTTCCCGAGCAGCCTGACCCTTACCCAACTCCTCCAGCCTCACACCGGTCATCCTTACACACAAGTCCGAGCGGCTCTGGCGTTGGGCAGGGTGTTCATGTCCTGGACAATATGTCAAGGCAATCCCTAGGTCCTCGTCAGATGAGCGACTGGATTCTTGTCAAGGGGCATGCTCGGGCGTTCTCATTACTAACACCGTTGCCGAGCATGGTCACTGAATCCTCTGCCTCTGCACTCCACATCTCTAATCCGGGCACGCGGGCGGCTACCGTCCCCGGCTCTCCCACCCGTTCCTATTCTACGTCTGGGCTTCAAGATCCTCCTCCCTCTCCCGAGTTGGCGTCTGTTAAAGAGCTGAAGAGGCTAACCAGTATGACGCGAATAAAGAGCGGTACCTCGACCCCGACCCGCGCTCTCTCCGTTGCGGCACCCTCACAATCCGACCCAAAGCAAGACGATGCCAACCGAGCAACTGGCGAAGATCCTCAACGCGCCGCAACACATACACCCACTCCTACCGGCGTGCAAGCTCCCGCGGCAAGAGGGAAGCTCACTATCAAGGTTCCCGAGGCCAGAGGGCTGAGGAAGTGCCGGGATCCTTACGTTATAGTTGTCTTCCAACGGACCGAACTCATCTCCAGCGGGTCACAGCAGCCTCTGGAGGACGATGATGCGGCCATCCAGCATGTCGCCATGGGAGGTTTACCGATTCAGCGCCAGGGTAGT